CATTACCTGAACCTGAAATAAGCATTCCCCAAACGTAGGGTGAGATCTCTAAACCAGAAATCTCAGTAAGACAAGGGGTCCTCAAGGATCTTCCACCCTAAGCTCACTTACATGTGCAATATAAGTTCCAAAAGCAGTAATTCAATATAAGTTCCAAAACTCAATGCAGCGCAACAGATATTCATGCCATGTGTGTTTAACTATTCTACTGGCCAGAGAAATGCAGGAATACGTCTATACCTACATATAGTACAAGGAATACCGCTTGCACCTCACCCACAGCCTCACCATATTATATGTACTACATACTCAGGCTTACCGTATAGGTGGAACACCACATGCATATCCAAAAGACACTAGCATATAACAGCTCAAAAGCATTTCCAAAACATCAAAAGCATGTAACACAGCATGCATATAACCATACCCCCATGGGACATGGTGGAACCACAACATGGCTAAACCGAGGACACGAAAGCTTACCTTGCAAGCTCACAATCCAATGCCAAGAGTCCACACAGCTCAACGTCCACAAACAGTACAATCACAATCTGTTTGGACCAATAATTATATCAATAAACACAGCTCATACACATAAACATAAAGACTATGTTTTCCTTTTACGGTTATGTCTTTAGGCTTCTCACAAAGTCACAAGCCCTAAAACACTTAGGTTCTGACTTAGATAATTTATCACAGAAGTACCACTTCATCAAACTAGGGTCCACAAACCCATACAAGACCTCTGTATGAACATCACCTTACTGTTCATCGAAAACCCAGAATATCCGAATATATGTCGGGACATATCCGGATATCAATATCCGGATATTTACAACCACATATCCGGATATTTCGCGACAGAACCCAGATTCTGCATTTCGCGAAAATCCAGCCAAAGGTCCAACTTTTATCATTTACAGAACATCAAAGCATGCATTTTTATGTTCATTTAGGTTCAACTAACAGTTGGTTACATGTTTAACTCATTTACATGCAAAGACACCACCTTTAAAACATTAAAACCCATGATCAAGGTTAGGCAACTCATCCCAAACCTTAAAACAGAGGAAAGAGTGCTCTTGGAGCTCACAATCAGCTCCTCAAACTCTGACTTATACAGAAAACGAAAATGCCTTCACAAAGGTTGGTTCTAGCATCCAAAGATCACTCCTTGGACCTCAAAGGGCCATGATCAAGGCTCGCAACATTCAACCCAACAAGTCAGCCCTCAAGGTACCCCAAGACAGTCCCCAAACTCAGAAAATGGTTGGCCTTTTCACTCACAATGTTCACCCTCACCCCAACCAAGTGTTTAGGATGAAGAAAAGAGAAGACTCAATGCAAAAGAAGCCAACTTGCTCAACAAATGGTGAAGAAAGAGAAATGGAACAGTAATCAACACTCAGCCACCAAAAGAGTCACGTAAGAAATCTGAATGTCTAGGGTTTTGTGCCTTAACAAGCCTATATATAGTCACTTAAGCATTAAACACATAGATATAACATTAATTGCTACGCTTAGCATTTTAATCCCAAACTCAGGATTCTTAACCTACTCAATTTTACAAGAATTATCATATTTCTATTTTATTTTTCAGAGTACCTTTTCGGTACGCACTTTTCCATAGCCAGTATCAGTTTTTGGCACCAGTTCTCATTATTTTAACTTGAAACTCGTTTTACAAGTCCTATATATTATTCTAGGAATTATCATGCACTTATTATAATTTTTCGGGATACTTTTTCGGTACACATTTATACCGACTAGCAGAACCGGTATCTGCGCTTTTTGTCCGAAAAGCGACTTTCAGCATTATTAATCACTTTCTATAATTATTTAAGCCTCATAATAATTATTAGGGTCAATTATGAAATTATTTCCTCATTCTCATATTTAATTAATTAATTTCCTTAATTAACGGTGTGGGTTCTTACATTGAGCTTCTGTATTGATTAGTTAAGTCAGAATCTAAGTGATTAAGGGCTTGTGGCTTTGTGAGAAGCCTTAAGACATGAAATGTAAAGGAAAGATGTTGTCCTTGTGTCTTATACTTGTTGAGTATGATTTTGATATGATTGTTGGTCCAAAACAAATTGTGATTCTGCTGTGTTTGGACTTTGAGATTGGTTGGACTCTTGGCTTGGATTGTTAGCTTGCAAGGTAAGCTTTTGTGTCCTCAGTTTAGCCATTGTTGGTTCCACCATGTCCCATGGAGGTATGGTTATATGCATGATGTTGTTTTCATGATATATTGATTTGTGAAATGTTGTTGAGCTGTTATATGCGAGTGCCTTTATGATATCATGTGGTGTTCCACCTATACGGTAAGCCTGAGTATGAGGTACATACAAGAGGGTGAGGCTGTGGGTGAGATGCAAGCGGTGTTCCTTGTACTTATTATGGGGTTGTAGACGTACGTCCTGCATTTCTCTGGCTAGTAGAATAGTTAAAACACACATGGCATGAATATTTGTTGCACTGCATAGTTTTGGAACTTATACTGTCAAATGCTTTTGAACTTACATTGCTCGTGTAAGTGAGCTTGGGGTGGAAGATCCTTGAGGACCCCTTGTCTTACTGAGATTTCTTTTAGAGATCTCACCCCACGTTTGGGGCACATATTTCAGGTTCAGGTAATGCGGGGGTTGAGACCTCTGGCGGCAGGAGGCCGGAGCTTAGCTGATTATATATGTTGTATGCTGACATGACTGAATATTGGATGTTGTTTATGTTTTTTGTCCTTATATTGATATTATTGTTGAGACGGTTGTGGGGCTTGTTGCCTTATTTGGTGAGCATAGGGATTGGCCATGCCACATTGACTTGACTTTATGTTTAGTGGTTTCTAGTTGTAATTAATAATGTATTAGGATATTGTCCGGACTACATATTGTAGATCTGTGACTTAGATACTCACATCTATGTTACGAGATATTTCAGTTAGCTGTCTTTTATGTTTAGTGGTTTCTAGTTGTAATTAATAATGTATCAGGATATTGTCCGGACTACATGTTGTAGATCCGTGACTTAGATACTCACATCTATGTTACGAGGTATTTCAGTTAGCTGTCTTCTGCAATTTACATACAGGAGATGTTTTATGAAATGAATTAAGTAATTCAACTTGGCTAATGATAATGACGTCATAATTAAAAAGAAAAAGATATTCCGTATTTTTAAATTAAGTGTGGCTTAATACAATGATATGATAACAAACCGGATATATACGGGGTGTTACAATTACCGTGTGGAGTAATCGATTACCCCCTGTCAGAAAGATTAGAAACCAGTTCTGATGCGTGAGAAAGTCCCAATTTGGGTATGATACCCTATGGAGTTAGTGTTACTGATGGAAAATATTAATACCAATAATAGTGAGGATTAATATGCGATAATTATGATTTAGAAAGGATTTAAGTCACTAAACAAAAAAGAAAACATTGCTCAATTAATGTGAAAATTGGGATTCAGAATATTGATAATGTTCTTGATATAAAACAGATTGTAATTATTGGATTGTGTGACTGTTGGTGTAACTGTATATATCGAGCCTTTGGATAGAGATTTGGGCACTACAGGTAAGCTTTCGTGCCATCGGTTTTACCCATTAAAGGTTCCACCATACCTCGTGGAGGGATGGTTTATATGCATGATATGTTTTCTGAAAAATATCTGTTTATAATATGAGTATTAAAAATGTTGTTGAGCTGGATTATTATTATATTGCAATTGCCATATGCATATGTATGTGGGGTATTCCACACGAGACGCTAATCCCTTAGCATGTCGGGCCACATACAAAAAGGTAACTCCGTGTGTGAGGTACATGGTGGACTCATTATACTGTTGGTTGTAGACGTATGTAATTCCTACGTTTTATTCTCTGGCCAGTAGGATGCACACACATGACATGGACATATGCTGCATTGCACAAATTTTACTATTATACTATTGTATCACTTTTGAACTTATATTGCACATATAAGTGAGCTTGGGGTGGAGAGATCCTTGAAGACTCCTTGTCTTACTGAGATTTCTTGTTAGAGATCTCACCCCATGTGGGGCATATTTTCATGTACAGGTGTTCCTGAGGTTGAGACCTCTGGTGGCAGGAGGCCGAAGTTGAGTTGAGATGATGCATGCACCTTGCCATATTATCATGATTTTTGTCTTGCTATTATGTTTTATGGCCATTGTGTTTGATACACGATTTGCTGATTATGTTGCTTTATTTTGTGAGCATGGGGGTTGTCCATGCCACATTTGAATAAGCTGTATTTATTCAGACTGAGTTGTATTATTGTATCAGGACATGTCTGGTCTACATGTTGTAGTTCCATGACTTGATACATTATTTTTGTTATGAGGTAGTCAGTGTAGTTATTTATTGCAATTTAGATACATGCGGCTTTTGAAAAAGAATTAAGTATATCCACTGGGTTAATTTGATAATGTTCATAATTGGAAAAATTTAGCTCATTTATTTAGCTACGCTTATTACCATTATATGTTTAATACACCGAGTGTACACGGGGTGTCACATAGTCCCTTGTGTAACATAAGATGTAGTCCCTTGTGTGAGGTATACCATGTGGTGTGTTGTATAAGATGAAATGTCTTATACTTGGTATGTTACAAGATAGAGTTTCTTGCATAATGCATACTTTATTCTCTGGCCAGTGGAATAATTATTTATGGTATTCTAGTGAGGGTTGATGGACCTGAGGAATGACCTGACGATATGGATATATGTCACCCCGTGTGGGGATTGTACTGAGTTTGTGAGCATTCTGGTGATGGCTGATAGTCTAGAGGAATTTATTGATGAGATGGATATATCTCACCCTGTGTGGGGATTGTTTGATACACTTGGCAATGATGCATATATTCTATATTATTCTGTTTATTGCTTTTCTACCTAAAGTGAACTGCGAGGTTGGAGGAATCCTCTAAGGACCCCTAGTTTACTGAGATATTTATTTCACCCCACGTTTCAGGGATCCACCTTTCAGGTACTGATATGGATGATGTTGCAGCATTATGTGGCAGGAGGCTAAGATAGAGCTATATGATATGACACGAGACTCTTTTGATGCTTATTGTTGTATTTATATTTAACACATGATGAGTGTGTATTTTGATAGAGCATAGAGGGTGTTTATGCCTATGTTGTATAAGACTTGTACATTTGTTAGTGGAATATGTATAGGTTATGCAAATAAGTATGTGTAATACTTTTATTGTATGATGTTTATCATTGATGATATGTTGTGTTATGTAAATGTCTTGAAGCCTAAGTAATTCCATCGTTGGAGGAGTATTTTGTAACATGATATTGTAAGGCTTTTATGCCTAATGTTAATTTAAAGACTTAAGTTTGAATGATGTATGTGGATTATTCATGAAATATGTTTCAAACCTTATAGATGGAAGCCTAAGCAGTGGATTGCTAGGAAATGGGGTTATGCAATGTATGATTGGTATGAATCCTATGGAATTAATGCAAATTTATGTTCTTATGGTGTATGAGAGAGATCCATTGATGGATCAATGAAATATGCCTAGAAATGGCTAAAGAAAGGTAATATAAAAATATGAAGATATAGGTTGAAACCATATTTGAATGAGTTAGAATGAAAGATGATTCCAATAAGCCTGTGGAAATAAGTATGATGATAGGTCATTGTCATAAGGTTGATGAAATGTTAAACATCATAACAATCTCTTTTGAGGTACTAAAGTTGATGAACAAATACATAAGGATTTATGTATGAATGATTTAAAAAACATGGTTATATAATCATCACATAGGTGAGGCATTATATAAGAGACGTGATTTATTCCATTGGAGAGAAAGATAGATGTAGAGCATGTGCAGGGATGTCCATTTGGGACAATAACTTATAGCAAGACACGGGAAAGAACTGTCATTTATAAGGAACACAGGTTGCTCGCTTAAGTGAGCAGTCTAGCAAGCAGAATTCATGTTGGGCAATAGCTACTGCTTGGGAATTAAGTAGCTCGATGTTCTCCTTGCGTAAGCGAGCAGTTTGGCGAGGAAATACAATCTACTAGCTAGCTTGCAGTCCAGCGAGTAGAAGCAGACAAGTTAAACATGATTTAGTAAAATGATCATATCTTGATCTACGATGCTCCAAATTGAGTGATGTTTGGACCTATGTGTGGCTAATATATAGGGATATAACCATGTAAAATATCAGGATCATTGGGTATGTGGATCATTACCAGTTTAATTTGGAAGTTTTTGTCTTGTTTTCAAAAAATTTGGTTGAAGCAGTTAGCTTGTGACAGACGTATCTTGAGTTATATTGATCCAATTGAGGCTTGTTATGTCGTTGGAAAACTCAAGATGTCAAATTTAACATGGCAAAAAATCATAATTTATGATGAGGACTAGTAGTCCCAGTTTTAGAAAACAAAAGGGTTGTTCACTGTTGAGAAAAGTACAGAATGTGATTTTCAACATGTTAGTCTATAGTGGCTACATGGTGAATGACTTAGAGTATGTTTGTAACCCTTGGGGCTCATAGTATTGTCTTATAGGGGAATGTAAAAAGAAAGATTAACGCTTCCGAATTATATACAATTTATAATTAAAGTATTTGATATAATTGAATATAGAGTATATTATTTGCAGTGAATGTAAAAGTAAAGGAAAAAGTTTATCCATAATTCTAATTAATTACTTTGATTGTAAATGTGCTTAATATCATAAATAATGATAACATACCCGTTCATGAATGGGGTGTTACAATACAACACGATAATAATTCATGTCATTTTTTTAAACTCGAACATGACATATTTAAGCCCGCAATCGACACCAAATACATTTTGACATATCATGTCGTGAATCGACTAGTGATGCCACCGTTAAAAATGTTCTTTTCTAAATCCTCAATTAATTTGGAGGATTTAGGTGGTGGGGGTAGTAATTTAGCTCATGTCCAAAATTTCTCAATAAATCCCTGTTTCCAGACCATGGTTTAAGCTCCTTTAATAAATATTTATTGTTATCTACAGTTTGCTTCGTTTTATTGTTACAGATTTTAAAGGTTTAAATATAAAATTTTGTTATTAATAAGGATATGACAGAAGACTTAATTATATTTAAAACTTGTTTATAATTCTTGGGAACATAAAACCAATTGTTTTTTTTTAAAAAAAAAAATTGTACTACTTAAAAACTTATATAAGTCAGTTATATTTGTTGCTTTAGTATAATTTTTTAAAATCTTACGTACAATTTAGAAGTATAAATTATGGGAAATTGAAAAGTTACGTTACAGGAATATAATTTTTTTTTCCTACATATAGATAGATAACAACGCTAGCCCTTTTCTTTTTCTTTTTTCAAAAAAATTTACTGTGGACCCCACAGACATTGTATCTAAAAGAAAGTGGAGGTTTTGTTCTGTAACATTACAGACATAAACCCCATAAATTATATGTAAAAAGTTGTACGGAAGTCGGCAACAAATAAAACTAATTGATTTAAAAAAATTTACGTAAAATATGGAAGTATAAATCATATGTAAAATTTTTTACACAAGTAATCAACAAATAAAACAAATTGATTTGAAATTTTTTTTGTAAGTATATATCACATTGGTTAGATATGACTCATACTTTTGGATGCTGATGATGATTTTTATTGTTGTGGTCAGCAACAACACAATAGGAGAATGTATAAAGGCATTGAGTGATGAGAGACTGGAGAAATGAGCTATAATTGTTTGTCCAATACCTCACTATTTGTGAGTGAGGACTTGCACCGTTATGTATACAGTTATGCACCAGAGTAAAAGATAATCTAAGATAAAGTCCATATGTTCATTATAAAAAAAAGAAATGTGACACCTTAATGGGCCTTTATAGTCCGGCCCATACATATTAAGCTATGAAATCCGGTCCAGATTAGTATATATTTGATACAAAATTTCATTACAAAATATTTGGATTACTTACACAATCACATCATTTCAATATTTTGACTGCTTACAATACCATTCCATTAATGAATAACACAATCCTCTCTGCGTTCAACATCACACTACCAACATACAAACTATCAAAGACCAAACTCAGTACAATGGTACATATTTTCCTTATCGGATTTGAACCGATGACTTACTCTACCACTGAGTTAAAGGGGCTCCATAAATGTGCTATCTTCCTTCTCACAGCCCTTTGACTAAGTTGAACATTAAGGGGGCGTTTGTTAGAGCTGAAGTATTTTTTTACAAAGAAAATATAATTATCAGGGATCTTCAAGGAAAGTGAGATAAGTAGAAAAATTAAAAAAAATGTTGTTTGATTGAGCAAAATATTACTGAAAAAATTGAATTAAATATCCCAAATCTATGTTTGGTTGAAAATAAAATATTAATGAAAAACCAGGTTGAAATTACAAAATCCTTCACAATATTTGAATCAGAGTAACTATTGCCTATGTCATTGGATATCAGTTGTGCCAACGGCAATATTGAAGTTTCCATATCTCTGTCTTTGTCTCCATCTCTCATTTCAAAGTCAGCAACCATCTGGAAAGGCAAAGAAGTATTACATGAACCCAACAAGAAAGCCAAGAGAAGTGTGCCAGTATATTTGATGATGCAGCGCAAGTCAGTCCTGAAGAGAAGCAACGAAACAACAAGAGGGAGTAGAAAGCGCATAACATCGTATGCGTCAGCTTCAACAGAAAAAATCCCCAAATTACTTGCTACAAGTCCCACCAAAATGCTCACCAGAGAACCACTCAGGGTGCTTCCAATCTTGGCCCTTTCTTACCTTACAATAATAATACATCCAATCCCGTAAAACAAAACCTAATGCTATTAATTCTGGCAACTAAAATAAAAAAATTGAATAAAAAAGTGAAAGGAAAGGAAGAGGAACAAGTACCAAATTCCAAAAGCAGCGGCGGTGAAAGAGAGCAGTCCAGTTTCCCCATGTGTCGTGAGGAGAAATGAGAGGGACATATCTCTTTGGCGGGTCCTTCACTTTGGTGGTTTCCATATCTCTATCTCTGTCTCTGTCTCTCACTTTGGCACTAGGTTAGAAGAGGATAATTTTGATAGGTCATTCTTCCTCTTTTTTTCATTTAGCTGGTTATCGTCAAATACCACCTTGGAAGTGGGATTTGAGCATAGTGTATTTCGTTAGATTTTGCAAACAATCATCAATCGTTGGGCAAATTAGTTTGCTAGGAAAAAAATTTGATATCTTGTATCAAACATGGACAACACACATTCCCAATCTCAGATGCCTGGGTATATTTGAAGAAAGCTCTTACCAAACACAACCTAATAGACGTTGTTACATTCTCATTGTCAGTTTTGGATTGATAAGTTTCACTAGCAGGATCTAACCAACGGTAATAACCACACTACATTTGTTTGAGTTCTTTTATTTAATTTTTTTTTTTTTTTTAGAAAGTTTATATGATGGCGGTTAGGGGTGTTAACAACCAAGCCGAGCCAGACTTTGGTTTTAAAAGACTAAGCTATTGTCTAAATGTGTCAGTCTGACTTAGCCTTAAATGTTATGAATATAATTGTCAACCTGTAGCCTGTTTTATTTACAAAATATAAAAGTTTGATATAGTCTATTAAAAAAAAAAACAAGATAACAAAAATTTATCTAAATAGAATATACAATCAATAACAGTAATAATTTCACAAAGATTCATAAATTCAATATATATGCAAACATAATGATATAGAACAAAATTATTCAAAAACACTGTTTAACTAATAAAATAGAATGAAATAAATTGAGGAGAAAGAGAGAGTTATTACGCATAGTATAAAAAATATAAAATATAAAATAAAAATTAGTATATTAGATCAAACTCTAAGTCCAAACTTTTAAATAGGAGCATAAGACATTTTTATTAAACGAGTTTGATTTTTTTATGAGTAAATACTATTTTTGGTCTTCAGCAAATTTCATGATACCTGCTTTAGTCCCTAGCAGATAAAAAAGCTATTCGTGTTTCTTAAGAAATTCAAAATGGACCCATTTTAGTCCTTTTGAGAGACTAATGTGGGTCTTTTTTGAATTTGTGATGGACTACGATTTCAACTAAATGGGTCCATTTTGAATTTCTTAAAGACTACAAATAGCCTTTTTATTTGTTAAAAACTAAAGCGGGTATCGTAAAATTTGCGAGAGGACCAAAAGGAGTATTTTTTTTATTTTTTATTTTTATTTTTTTTTGATATATCAATTTTACACGTATAAACTCA